TGGCGGCGGGCAGAGGCGGCGGCGCACGGGCACCTGGCTGAACACCGGCACGCTCACCATGCTGCGGTCCTCCTGCATGGTGAAGGGGTTCACGCAGCCCAGACACAGGCACCGTGCCTCGGGCAGGTCCTCGGGGATGCGGCTGGGGTCGTGATTGATGCTGCGGGGAGCGAGCGGGAGAGGGCGCGTGGTGAAACTGGGCGGGAAAGAGCAGGGCGCCCTCTTCTTCTGCAGCCTCCCAAGAGCTGGGCTTCCCGCAGCACGGCTGGAGACAGCCTTAGGCAAGTCCTGTGCCCCGGGGTTTTCCCGGCTGAGGGTCGCCAGTCAGTGCCAGCTTTCTTTTCCCACCCAGTAAGATGCCCATCCCAGCACCAGAGTCCTGTGGGCACCGCAGAGAGGCCTAAAGCCTCCCTCTGTTCCCTGGTCCTATTTTGATATTTGAGGGAAACTTAATCTGTAGAAATAAAATGCAAGCCTATTGAAGCTTACAGTACACTGCAAGAGGAGCCCAGGGACCTGGTTTGATTACGATTTGGTCTGCGAAGTGCACTCATTTACTAGGTACTTTTACACACTCAGTGTGTGAGCGGTCCTGCCCTAAACTTTAGTTGCTCCCTGTGAACAAAAGAAATGTGCTCGGTCCCAGTGCACCTAGCACACAGGAGCTTGCTCTGTGACCTTACCTCCCTGGGCCTTGGCTTCCTCTTCTGTTAAATGGGGAGGAGGGTGGGTGACCCACACCCTAGAAGTCTGCCACATCAGCACCCTTATCATACTTGGGAGCTTGTGGGACAGGCAGAACCTTCTGAACCACAGCCAGCGGCAAGCGTTTCTACAGAGTCCCAGCAATACACTCACACATGAAAGTGTGGGAAGCTGGACTGTTACCTATCCTTACTGATGCTCGGAATTCAAGGCTTTGAGCTGCAACATAGTAGCCACTGGCCCCAGTGCTAACTTTAATTTCATCAAAATTTAGTTCTCCCTTCTCGGTAGACCCATTTCAATTGCGCAGTTGCGACCTGAGGCCAGTAGACTTTTTACACCCTTGCAGAACATTCTAGTCAACGGTGCGACTTTAAGGTCTCCAGATGTAAGCTGTTTGGCTGGAAGATCTTTGGCCTGGGTCAGTGAGTGAGCACATTTCAACACTTATTTATACACCTCTGGGTACCAGGCACTGAGCTAGGAAGTGGAACTGGAATCAAAGTAAGACTCTGCTTTTGTCTTCCAGGGCCACAGGATCGATTCTCAAGCCAAAACTCCACTGTGCATCTGAATCATGTGCAGTTACAGTGACACCGTGTTCTGGGCATCAGCCTGGAGGACTGACCGGGTGAGGCATGAGGACTCAGGTGACTTTGATGCAGGCATTAGGAGGGTCCCTGTCTGAGCATGGGAGATACATCACCTCGCCCAACAATGTCTCATGAAGAGCTGTGACTAAGAAGTAACCACACTGCTACACAGAGTAACATTTGGGGAAGGCCTCACATGCGTTTAAGCTGGGACTTCTGGAATAATCAAGGGAGTGCTGTGCATAGAGATACTTTTTAAACTAGCCTGTGAAGAAGGTACCACCGTCACCTCCATTTACAGTTGGGTAAACCGAGACTCAGAAAGGCTCATCAACTAGCCCAAAGCCTCACAGCCCGTAAGAGACAGAGTCAGGATTCAAACTCAGGAACTGAGACTCCTGAATCCAGGGTGTTGCCTGTCCGGGAGACAGGGACCGCAGGAAGGCCAGCCTACCTGTATCCCCAAGGAGATAGGCTCCTCCTGTTGGACAGCCACAGCTGTAGGTTGACCTCACACTTCCTCACAGCTGGCTCCGAGCTGTTCCTCAGCTGTGCCACCACCTCACCCAGGTTCCTCTCGTACTCCTCCAAGCGAGCATAGGGCTTCACCCGAGACACCAGGTCCAAGGGCACCTGGTGAGGCCCTGGGGCCAAGGTCCCAGGCCGCCCTTGCCCCTTCCTCTTGCCTTTGGGGCTCCTGGGCTGGCCCAGCCCCAGGAAGATGGAAATGGCGAGAAAGAACATCTGGGAGAAAAGAGCACTGGTCAGAGGTAGGACAGCCAAGGCTCTGGGCCAGGGCGTGGGGTCCAGGGAGGAGAAGGAAGAGGGCGGGGCTCCGCAGGGGCCACCCTCAGCAGCCGCACCCAGCCTGCCCCGATCACTTCCTGTGAACCGCTCTGAGGTGGGTACCAGGGACAATTTCCTCTTCCTCCCTTCACGTCGAGCTCATCTTGGAGTCCTAGAAGTAGGGCATCTCCTAACCCCTTTCTGCCACTTGCTCCCTCTGCGGCACTGCTCCACCCTCTGACACTGACAGATCTGCTGCCTCCTGCTTCTCTTCCCAGACTGCCTCTGGGTCTTGCACTCAGTGTTCCACACCGAGGCCAGAGCAACTGTTTAAAAGACAAAGGTGACAGCACCACCTTCGCTTCACAGCGTTCACACTGCCCTTGGAGGTGTCCCAGGCCCTCCCTTCTCCCTCGCCCTTCAGCCTTCTCCCAGTCACTTGCTCTCCTGCCTCGGGCACAGCATAGGCCTCTGCCTCCTCTCTCACTTTGTACTCCTGCGTTGGCTCTAAGGTCACTGCCTCGGGGATGCTCTGGGCTGTCCTGGGTGCTCCTTACCCCTGCGCCCTGAATGCCCGGCATCTCCCCTTTTCACAAGTAAGTCTTCTGTACCTCTGTCCCCTACCAAGCAGGCTCCCGGAGGGCACTGATTGGGTCAGTTTTCACACTGTCTTACCCCGACCGCTTCGGCCTGCTGTGAGCACACAGAGGGGTGGCCGCCACCATCCAGCCCTGTGTAGCTGACAGTGCAGTAGGGAAACGGCTCTAGTGAGGAGCACAGGGATGGGCCCATGCAGGGGTGGCAGGAGAAGAGCTGGGCTCCTGCTTAGCCTGTGCCAGGCAGCGGTGTAGCCAAGCTTTTCTGCCATGGGGACATGACAGGTGAGGCTTGTAGGATAAGAGGGAGGCAGACAGGGTATGGGGTATATAGGTGTCTTCCAAGCGAGGGAAACAGGGAGGAGGTTTGGGTCCATCACAAGCTTTGGTGAAAGGAAAGGGTGAGGCTGAAAGGGGCGCGGGGAGAAGGGAGCGTGGGCTGAGCAGGGAGAACCAGGCAGGTCCCCAGCTCCCCGTGGGGCTCCATTTCTGGGCCTCTCTTCCAACCGACAAATGGCCACCCCTTCCCCGGGCACTGCACACCAAGAAAGCCTGTAGTTCTCATAGAGAGATGACTCCCCAGGAGCCCAGGGAAAGAGGAGCCAGAGCTGGCAGACAGACTAACTTCCGGGTAAGTCTTACCTCCTAGCTGCATCTAGCCAGGCCCACACCTTCCCGGAATCCCTCAGCCTACAGCCCACAAGGCCTGACTGATCCAGGCTTCCCGGCAAGCCTGGACCCTGAGGAACAAGCTCCTGCACGGCTCCTCTTGGCACAAATCTATGAGCGATTCAGGTTGCTAAATCTGCCCTTTTTGGTCCTAGATTCTGGCGCAAAAAAAAAAAAAATCTGCCTGACAATGGGCTCTCTCACCAGAGCTTCTCACATGCCAGTTTTTTGGGGTTTTTTTGTTTTGTTTTGTTTTGAGACAGGGTCTCGCCATGTAGTTCAGTTGGCCTTGAACTCATCATGCAACCCAAGCAGGGTGCTGGGATTGCTGGCGTGCACATCACCATGCCCAGCTTTATATGCTGCTCTTAAACCCTGGCTCTCTACTCAGAGAAACCCAGAGGAAACTCAGCCCCTCCCCAAACTTGCCAGAAGAGAACCAGAAACAGAAGGACTTGCCCAAGGTCACACAGCCTGCCCCGGGGACTAGGAGGCAGCCTGGAAAAACCCTGGTCTCTGAGCTTGCCAGGATCTCCCCAGATGCCTCTTCCTGAAAGAGCTTCAGTGTGGACGGCTGAGCCCCAGTCCAGGGCCCAAGCTACTGGCCATGGCTGCGGGCTGTGAGACGGGTCTCTGTTCCTCTCTAGTCCTAGAGGAGAAGACAGGGAACTCGCCTCTGCAGCCTCCAACCCAAACAGAGGCAGGCATTAATCAATAGGACAGAAATGCTACAGCATTGAGGCCGACAGGGTGGGGGCAGGGACGCCACGTACCAGGTTGTGTGGCCAGTCCATCCCGCCTCGCCGGCGGTCGGCCTGCAGCTGCTGCCGCCTGGGACCCCAGATGCCGCTGTGGAGAGAATGGCAGTGACAGGATGGAGCGAAGCAATTATAGCTGCCAGGGGGCTGCCGGGGGAGCGGGTGGGTGGGCTCGTCATCAGCCAGGAGGCTTGGGCCCCAGCTGGCCGGGCCTAGTGCACAGGCAGGCGGCGAGGGCTATGTGGGCAGGCCAGGAGCTGGGCTGAGGTGCCCAGGGGCTGTTGACCAAGGGACAATGCCCTGTGTGTCTGGCGGGCCCTGGCTGGTGGCACCTCCGCCTGTGGCCTGCGGCTGGTCGGCTGGCCAGCACCCGCAGGGCCAGCTAAGACAATCAGCTTCGTTTGCTTTGGGGATAGCCAGGGATGGCTGGTGGCACCTCCGCCTGTGGCCTGCGGCTGGTCGGCTGGCCAGCACCCGCAGGGCCAGCTAAGACAATCAGCTTCGTTTGCTTTGGGGATAGCCAGGGTGAGGGTGGAGGAGGGCTGGGCGGTTGGTCGGTCAGGAGAGGGTGTGGGCCAAGGCCAGGACACAGGCCCTATCTCCCAGGGAAACAGCCTCAGGCATTCCCAGCTCTGCCTGCCCCACTATTGCACAGATGGGAAACTGAGGTTTAAACACATGTCGTCTGTGCAGCTAGGGGTGGTGCCTTGTTCCCACCCAGAACTCCATCTGCCGCCCCATGCTGTTTGTCTTGGGAGATTTCCTGCACAAAGCCAGCTTGCTGTGAAGCTGTGAACATCACACCAGCTGACCCACAGATACACGAAGATCTCATGGCCCCATGCTCTCCTGTGTATACAAGGTGTCCCCTCCCAGCGCCTGGCCCTGGTGGCTGCTTGTGACCTTCCTTCTCTTTCAGCCTGTTTCCCTCTCTGTAAAATGGGAGCTGTGCCCACGAATAGACAATCACCAGCGCATTGCTGCTGAAGTCTTTCTGAGCCCTGCGTCCCACATCTCTAGAGTGGGAGTAACCATTTCATCTACTTCTCAAGGCTGCTAGAAGGAGTAAAGGAGATAACTCACGTTAAGTAGCTGGCATGGTGCCTGACACATAATAAGTGCTCAACAAATACTTTGCTGTTTATTATAAAAACTATGATGCAATTATTTTATACTTATGATTACAAACAGTAGCCATTCTGATTTGCATTGGCAGTAGATTGGTTCTCATCAGTCAGCCAGCGGCCCTCTCCACCCGTCACGCCCACCCGCCTGGCTGAGAGAGTTCCAGTCTTTCCAGACTCCGCCACAACTTCATGAGCTCAAGTAACCCCGGGGTCCACGCGGCCTGGACTCTCATGCTGGCCACGGTCTCTCACCTCCAGGGAGCAGCTGGACGTGAGCAGGCGCGAGTCCACCCAGGGAGGCGGGAGTGGGGAGTGTGAGGCCAACCGGAGGCCCCTGTTCACAGGCAGCACTGCTCTGTCTCGCTCAGGGCTAGTCCTGGCCATTTACAGGAATTGGTGAAGGGAAGAGCGCAGGGCGCGAGCGCTCCTGAGTGTCACAAGATTAATCTGCCCAGGGCAGGTCTCCACAGCATAGCTGAGAAGCTGGCTGGGGCCCGAGCTCCTCGAGAGATACCACCATATTTGGTCAAATACGAGACAGGACTGTGTTCTGTCGCTGGAAACTCCAGAGGGAGGGGGACTCAAAAATACCTCCTTGGGGAAGAAGGGCCCCCACCCCCAGCCCCGGCGTCCCTGCCCCTCCACCACCTTCCTCTGAGGGGCAAGTGGGGGCAACCTGGTGGTGTTCTTTGGTGGCTTTTTGCTACACCCCCTGCAGCCAGGTGACCTCTCCCCATATCCACAGAAAGTGAGAGCTAGGGTGCAGGCGCTCCTCCACTCCTCAGGACCCCTGAAGCTACCAGGCTCCTGACCTGTTGCCACATACACCCCTGACTTCTTCCTCCTCAAACCAGAATGCCTTGGCCTCTCCAGCTCCTGACAGTGGTTCCAGGGTCTCAGCCTCGGAGTCCCAGGAATCCGCATTTCAACCCAAACCCAGCCTGGCAGCTACAGGGGTCCTCACCCCTTGTGTAGCCCACTCCCTCCACCTGTTTTACTAAAGGAGGCTAAAGGCCAAGAGAGGCAGGGACCCTGCCCGAGCTCCTTTAGCACATTTGTGCCAGAGGTGGGAACAGATCAAGTCTCCCAGTTCTTCGCACTGCCACCCGCTTCGGGTTTACACCAACAGCCCTGGCCAGCCTAGGCCTACTGGCTGGTCTGGAGGGGGCCAAGGAGCCAGGCTGAGAGAGCGAGGCCCCTCCCAACAGGGAAGCACAGAGAGCTCCAAGGCAGGTGCCAGTGGCCACCCTTGGATTTCTCACTCCTGAATGTCCCAGGCCAGGAAGGGGCCCTTCCCTCCAGCCTGGGCATCTGCAGCCACTGGAGAGTCCTCTTCCCTTAGGGACCTCCTGAGTAAACCGGTAAGCACGGACCCGTGAGGTCAGTGCCAGGCCTGAGAGGGAGGCCCGGGAGGTAGGGATTCCGGGGGCTGTGTGTGTGAGGCTAGGGTCCTTGGGTCCCTGCACAGGGGGTGACGGTCAGCGTGGAGGAAGAGCGGCGGATGAAGGAGAGTTGGCAGGTCGGCCTGATCTGCGCTGAAGGCCACAGCTGAGGCCCAGGGGAAGCAGTGCCCTGTTCGCCAGCAGGTGGCGCCCGCGGGAAGCCAGACAGCGGCGAGGAGCGCGGCGAAGCCTACAGGACTGAGGTCCGGCCTGTGCCGTCGCCCCACTTGAGGAGGGACCCTGCGATGGATGCAGACCAGGGCCCAGTACACAGCCTACCAGTGTGAAATGAGGGCCTGGTCCCCCTACTGTGCACCAAGCCCTAGGCACGTGACACCTGGGCACTACGGTTCTCTGAAAATAAGTTCGTAATGATGAAGCTGCTGCTAACCTCGAGCCTAACTACCAGGTCCCGCACTCTCCTTCATATGCGAACCTTCACTTCAAGGAGCACCCCACCCTGCATGGAGCAAGGACAGGAGGATGCCGCGGCCTTGCCAACATCCTCAAACGACTGGGCCTGCCAGTCCAAACTGGAGTTCACAGGGGCCACGAGGGCTCCTGGCTGTGGGCACCACTACCCCAACGTATCTGGTGCTTGGCAAGTGCACGGCGAATACCTGATACACTGGATCAAACCAACTGTAGTAGTAGCTGTGATGGCGGCTGGGTGGCCAGAGCAGCAAGGGCCCAGAGGAGGAGCCGCAGACCCGCAGAGTAAACTCAGGTTCCTGGGATTCCCAAGAGTCTTAGTCCTGTCTCTGTGTCGTCACAGCCTTGCGGGCTTGGGAAAGCCGCTTGACTTTTCTGAGCCTTTAGCTCCTTCTGCCCAGCAGAGCTAGTAAAACTCAGCTATCAATTATGGTGAGGCTCAAAAAAGATGAGACAGACGAATGCATTCTCTTAACACAGTGCTTGGCAAAAGTGGAGAGCTCAGTGGATGGTTACTGCAGTTGTCATTGCTAGTCCTAAAAGAGGTTTTGAGTTGGGCTTTTGGGGATGCTCCTAGGTAGGAATGGCCTTAAGAGATCGGGAGGAGGCTAGAACCAGTGAAACAATGCAGAGTCCCCCGTTCAGTGAGCCCACCTGGGAGCCTCAGCCGGGCCCACAGGCCACAAGGGACTTGGTCTGAAACCTTGTGCAGATGGACCAGGAAAAGCAGAGAGAAGCGGCAGGAAGCTGGCAGGCGCCTTTGCTGGATGCAGCCCTCCCCCCACCCTGGCTCCTCCACGTGCGCCACCCCTCTCCTGGGCAGAAATTCTTCTCCCAGGACCATATTTGCACAAATGCCTGCCTCACTGCTCACTGCAGAGCCCCAGCCAAGAGGGACTATTTTAAGCTCCCTGGATGGGAACATTGTTGGTGGGAACAGTCCCAACTAGCAAGCTCCCGGTTCTCAAAAAAGGGAAAGGCCTGGGTGAAGGGGCGGCCCCTAGGACATGCGGAGGGGCTGTCGTATCATCGTGAGCCCCTGCCCAGGCCAGGTGCCAGTGCCTGCGTCCCTGGAAGTCCAGGAAGTGGGAGTCGGGCGCTGTCTGAGGGGGTGCCGAGATCATCCTCTGCCAGACTCCAGTCTAAAGACACCAACTTTGTTCTTCTGGGTTGCCGAGTGATTCCACACCGTACCTAGGTCCTTGTTAGCACTCATCCCCCCAGACCAAGAGAGACAGGGAGGTGCCTCCTCCAGCCTTTACAAGTGTAGGACCCACTGAAGGGTCTGTGCTGATGCCTTCCCTACAGCAAGCACTTAAAATTTGGCCAGTTTGGGCTGTTTTCTTTGTAACTTGGTTTGGCTCGGTGTGTGCCTGTTTGTTAAGTGGTGTTTTTGTGGGTGGGTGTGCTATTTTTGTTTTCTGATTCTTGTGAAGAGCCAGTTTAGACTAATATTTAAAGGACAGACTGAACCTGAGTGACCTGACCCCTAGCGCAGCAGCTCGGTCACCTTGGGCAAGTGACCTCACCTGCCTGAGCCTAGGCCTCGAGGTGGGCATGCGGGCGAGGCCAAACTCCCACAGTGCTACTCAGGGCGGGTGCTCAGGGATGGCCCTGCTATTTCTTATGCTGTCATACACATCGCTTGACTAGGCACAATCAGGTGACGCAGAACCATTCTAGTCAGTTCTAGAACTTTCTGGATGCTAGAGCTAGTTGCCAGTAGAGCAGATTGCGCTGCAAAGGACTGAGGTCCCTATTGGCCTAGGCATCTCAGCAGAGCCTGGAGGACTGGTTGGGACACTGTGGTGGTGCGCAAGATGAGGAAGGAGATGTCCTGCTTGAGTTTTAAGTTTCCTTCCAAGCTGAGTGTGGTGATGCACATCTGTAATCCCAGCATTCTGGGAAACTGAGCAGCAGGAGAATCTACATTTCAAGCCCAGCCCAAGCAATTTAGCAAGACCTTATTTCAGATGGTGTCGGGGAAGGGAGAGAGAATAGGGCCTGGTGGTGCCTACTTGTGATCCCAGTACTTGGGAGGCTGAGGCAGGAGGATCATTGCAAATTTAAGGCCAGCCTGAACTATATAG